TTTGTCTTTGTAAATTTGGAACTGAATAAAGTGTAGATTTGTTTAAGAACATGGAGAATATGACAAAGAATGTAGAAAACATGTAAGTGAAGGTGAAAAAATGAAGTGATCTTGTGCGGAACATGAACTTGTAGAGGAACATGAATATTGACAAAGAACACAAAAAATATGGAAGTTAGCATGAATATTGAGTATAAAGTTGTAAAGAGAACATGAGATGAACATGAAAACATAGAAAATATGACTAGAATTTGTAGAGAAAGTAATGAGACTAAGAGAAAGATTACAGAAAAAATGGAGATACTTGTGAAAATATGAACTGAATGGGACTGTGAACATTTGAAGAACATGGAGTGAACATAGAAAACATGGACAAAATGTGAAGAACACAGCTGAATATAGAGAAAATATGCAAATACAGTACGATTATTGAAGTTTTGGATACGTTGGGGAGGGGAGGGTAATGTAATTATTCTGATAAACAGATAGGCAGGAGACGGACTTGATCGAAAATATTTATGTTTGATGATCTAAGGCAGAGGAAATGTAGCTTGGTTAATGCCCCGATTAATTTTACTACGTTAGAAATAAGGTGATCTTAAATCTCAGGGTGATTTAGTTGGAAAATAAAGAACTTGTACAAATGAACTAAGCTGGGGCACAAGAGTTGAAACTTGATAACTGAACTGGTTTTTTATTTACTATGTCTGAAAATGTAGTTGGGTGATTTGGACTGAGAGTAATGATTTTACAAAAGTGAGCTTGGACAGAGGACAAGAGCTAGAGTTTTATAATTGTTTACTTCATATTTACTATGTCTGAAATACAGAGGGTAAAAATTTCAGGGAAATTGATGGTTTATTTACAAAGATATGAAAGAGAACTAAGGCGGGGACGAGAGCTGGAGCTCAGTAACTGACTTGATCTTATTTACGGTGTCTGAAATGCAGAGGGTAGAAATTTCAGGGGAATTGATCTGTTACTAACGAAGATACGAGAGAGAGCTAAGGCGGAGGACAAGAGCTGGAGCTTGGTAACTGTTTTGATCTTATTTACGGTGTCTGAAATACAGAGGCTAAAAATCTAAGGGAATTTGGACTGTTACTAATGATTTTGTACAAATGAACTAAGCTGGGGACAAGAGCTAGAGTTTGATAATTGTTTGCATTTACTAAACTATGTCTGAAATACAGAGGGTAGAAATTTCAGGGAAATTGGACTGATACTAACGAAGATACGAGAGAGAGCTAAGGCGGAGGACAAGAGCTGGAGCTTGGTAACTAATTACTGTATTGAACTACATTTGAAATATGATTATTTTTAAATTTTAGAGGGATTGGAATGATAGTATTCTTTATACGACAGGGGACTAAGGTGGGGAACGTGAGCTAGAACTTGCTTACTAACATGATTTATTTGTGTAAAACTGACTTGCTTAATGAAAAGGAGCAAACATACTGACTTGCTTAATGAAAAGGAGCAAACATACGATGTTGGAAAATAGTTGAACTGAATGAAAGGAGAGAGAGAGAGAGAGAGAGGAGGGACGGTCCAGATATTATGGATAAGATAAGATAAGATTAAGAGCCGACTGACTGGCTGGGCGCAAAGTAAATAAAGGTGATGCGACAGATTGCGAGGCAAGGGGGGGAGGGAGGGGGGTGTGATGTACGAGACTTGAAAACAATGACTTATACAGATAACTTTCTAAATTTATATGAATAACTAAGGCTTACATAGACGATTTTGTAAGTTGAAAACATGTAAAATATGTCCGTAGAGTTCTCCTGGAAGCCCTAAAGTGCTACACACGTTATTTGAATTTCTCCCATAAGGCTTTAACAAACTTCTAAGTCTCGGAAATTATTTTTCTCATAAGAAATCCTTACTTCTAAAATCTGCGACTGACAAAATTTACCTGAAAACCCTGGCTCCACACAGACGATATTTCAAAATTTACCTGAAACCCTTGGGGCGCACAGGGGATATTCTAAATTTACCTGAAAACCCTGGCGCCACACAGACGATATTTTCCCTGAAAAAAAAATATCGTCTGTGTGGCGCCAACCCTACTACTCACAGTTACATTACACAGTGCACATTACGATTTCAACTTAGGTTCAACAGAGCAGAAGTTGTTAAACACATATGGCAAAATCTTACTGAAGCGACCATACGAGTCATGAATACTCATACTCCGCCCAAGTAAAACAAAAACAAGCAACACTTAGTGGGCCAGCCAGAGGCTTAGGGCCCGCCCAGTGGGCCAGCCAGAGGCTTAGGGCCCGCCCAGTGGGCCAGCCAGAGGCTTAGGGCCCGCGCAGTGGGCCAGCCAGAGGCTTAGGGCCCGCCCAGTGGGCCAGCCAGAGGCTTAGGGCCCGCCCAGTGGGCCAGCCAGAGGCTTAGGGCCCGCCCAGGAATATCCCTGCAAAAAAAAAAAAAAAAAACATAATTCAGGTCCAAAATAACGTAATATATTTTAAGATACAGAATAGAACTATGTCACATTTGTTTAATGTTGGGCTTAAGGCAAATAGAACTATGTCACATTTGTTTAATGTTGGGCTTAAGGCAATTAACCATGCCAGCGCTATAGAATCTACCAACCCGTAAATATGCTTTAATCCATTACATAGTTCAGAATTTACAAATATTTTTAGTGCATATACACTGATATAAGAGAAACGCCTTACTGTGTATCTCTTGGGAAGTACCTGAGGGAACGAGACTAATGCCTAAGGAGCTGTAAGTGCGGAAGGAGGAGGTTACTGGTTATCAAACCCCGCCTTTTTTGAGTTCTAAAATATATGGGTTATGGTTTGAAGGCATATCGATAACCAAGGACTTCAAGGCTACACTCGACTTTATTCCTATTCGTCGAGTATATTTTTTTTTACTATAAACGAAACGGTAATCATGCGGGATTTGTAGGTAATTATCCAGGTGGTGTCTTAAGCCTTTTCAACCCTCTACCGATACTGTTTTTATTTTATATTGTATACAGTATAGAAACTTGGAACCTTTACATACATGAAGACGAAACACTTAAAGGAAATATGAAGTTATTTTAAATTATATAAATAAAACATGATATGGTATATATATCTGAGGAACGACGAAACATCGGAAAATAGGTAAAAATGTGTCCGCTTACGAAACCTGTACATCTTTCCTCAATCATGACGATTTAGTTGGAATTTACTAAACAATTTGTTAGGTTGGAAAAGCTCTGCGTGGTCTTTCTCGACCTATGTAGAAAATTGGAAACATCGAGAAGTTCCTTTTTTAATAAATGCTAAGCCGGCATGATTGACAAAAGATGTACAGGTTTTGTAAGTGGACATGTAAGTGATGAATTCCTGACAACATGAGACTGTGGAAGGGTTGCCATCACGACATCGATAACAAACTTCCCGCTCATGACGTCAGAGTGGAGAGTCGTGTCCTACCTGTGGACTGTCCTCAAGTTTGGCACATGTGCCACTTTGCACATACATGACTGCTCAGCTCCACGCTGTGATGAATGACACGCCTGAAATTTATAGGTGTGTGTGTGTCGTATATGGGTATGTGTTATGCATAGCCGTGTCACGCATGGCTGTGTCCTATATAGCTGTGTCGTGTATGTGTCACGTATAGCTGTGTCGTGTGTGTGTGTGTGTCATGCACAGCTGTGCCGTGTATAAATATATCATATATGGCTGCGGTTGACCCTCCTGCTGCATGCATTTTTCAAAGCCTACTGCATATTCAAATTCGCCATTTTCCCACATAAATTTTAATTATTTTATGTAAATTATATAGTATATGTGAACAAGTTAGGTATTTAAGTTCTATAGGCAATGATTTATATTGATAGTACGTATATGAAGCATTTACAGAGCCGTAATTTGAACATAGTCAGCGAATCATTGTTAAATGTTAAAGCGACATCACCAGCTGCGAGTCACGTGTAAATACAACATTCATAAACATGAAGTTTAGCGGCTGGATTAACGAGCATTTAACCTTTGTTTATGAGGCCGGGGATGCATGTAGCCCCATACGATTACTGATAGATATCAACTGATGCTTGCGTCTGCGGGGTCGGCCGCCGCATGGACGCGTCGAGCTAAAATTAAGACGCAATAATTAAACATCTACGCCACTTACCTGGACCATACAGGCTCCTGCGAAACTCCATCAAATGATTCTGGTACTTCCTTGAAAGACATCCCGGCGCACACACACACACACTTAGATAATGGTATAATCCCGTGGCGTTGAGGAGAGCGACGCAGTGATGCTGCTAACGACACTGACAAGAGCAGACTGACGACTCACGCTTTGAACTGTTGAGAAGTTGCCGGGGTTTCCTAGGCTACCGATTTTGAGAATACAAATTAATTCTTCTTTGGAGAGAGAGAACAAGCGAATTCGAGTCTTGTGTGAGAAATATATAATTTTTTAATTCAGCTTGAGCCAGATTCAGTAATACAGACATATTCAATTTGGCTTATAAACACCCGACAGACTCATTTATGTGCAAACGATCGTTATGGGCTCTTTGGCGCCCATTCCATACTCACAACTGTCAGTCTCTGGTTCAAAGTTTAAAAACTCTTATAGAAGTCATCAATCACGAACCTATATATCACCATTCACTTCTGTTTTAGATAAAGATAATTGTAAGTTACACTAAGGCTGTTTTAATCAGAAGGCGGGAATATCTTCACGTTATTCATGACTACATCAACTGTCGTCTAGAGTTTCTCAGTCGTTTAAAAATATAACGACAAGCCATCAAATAAGTAATAAGTGTATATAGATACTGTATTTTAATTATTTGTCTAAACTAAATATATATTCAATTAGGAATTATAAGGCAGAATATTAGGCTAGAATTATTGTTGTCATTAATAACTTTAATACTTCTCTTTTTTAGCCTTTAAATTGCATCATTAAATTTATAGGTGAACATAATTACCAATCAAATTATTTTACTTTTTGTATTTTGTTTTATTATAATTTATACAAGATAAATAAATAAATATACAGAAGGGCAATAGTAAATTCGCAACACAAGTTCCAAGTGAGCATCGCGAAGTCTCTTTGGAAATATATGTCAAAGTCTTAGTAATCGTGTAATGTAAATTATTATATTTGGTTCTAATACTCAAAAGTCAGTTCAAAAAAAGCATAGGCTTCAATTACTGTTTTGCTGTTATATTACTCAGCACGTACTTAACCCCTAATTCAGAAGTTTAGATGGGCTAGGAATTTGCATGTAGCGTCTTGAGCGTGGCCTTAGGCTTTGTCCACAACTGACCCGTCGGAGCTGGGACTGGTCAAGCATTTACGAAATCTGTGCATCTTCCCTTAATCATGGCGGCTTTCTTTACACTTATTAAACAGTTCATGAACGAAACTTCGCAATCCAAGGTTATTATTGGTATAAACAAACTCGTTAATAAACGTAAACAAAGGTTCAGTGAATGAGGATGCACATTTTTCGTAAGTGGTTATGTAACTACTTCTGAAATTTAGCAGAATCCTTAAAATTGCAGTATTGGTCATCTGAAGACTTAAAGATTATTTACAACAATTATGCATATTATTTAATTTAAAATTCAAAACTGAACGCCCATATCCATGCCCATGAAAATGTTATTTTCAATGTTTTTTTAAATAGACTTAAGTATATAATACAAAAACAGTTCAATACCTTATCTGAGCTGGTACTGAACTTTACTATATAGTGAAGTTTTCAGTCATCATCAGTACTTGAAGTTAGGCAGTAAACGCCAGAGACCAACTCTTAATGTGTCAATTATAAATAAACATTCTACATCCATTCAATGAGGCTTTCGATTATTACACATTTTCTGCTTAATGTACTCCTCTCAAATCTGAAGTCTGAACATTCACAAAAGTGTGAACATTCACAAACCTCTTGTTTACCAAGGAAAGGTTCGAGTGAAAGGCTTATGAGCGGAGCTTGTACACCGTAGTATGATAAAGTCCAGTCTTAAATAATATGCAAGTTTCAACATTAACTTATTGCATACTTAGCTAATCTACTGTTTTGATATAAATTTGGAAACATTTCGTTGGGAAAGTTTCAATAAACACACGAACTTAACGCAAAGTTGTGGCCAGTTATCCGTTTGTCTTTCAATCCATACGTTCCCCCATTTACCCGTTTAATAATTTACCTAGCCAGCCAGCCAGCTAGCCATACTTTCATCCATCTACCTATCCAGCCAGCCAGATAGTTCTATATTCATTCGCCCTGTCATACATCCCAACAGCCATGAAGATGCACCCCACAGTTATTGACAGTTGACTACAAGTAATTGCTCATGACAGCCAGGAGGTCGAAGAACTTGAAGGAGGCGCGCGAGTAGAGATCCTCGAGGTAGTGGGCATCGCTGAGGGTGCGCGGGGAACATCCGTAGGGCACCACCTCGCAGCTGGTGTCGTAGGACAGTGTCCGGTCTATGTAGGTTCCCAATTCCGTGTCTCCAAAGTAGTAACCCAGACCAGCGCTGCAAGTAACAAGTTTGGATAGGTTAGACTTGTCCAAAGTAGCAACTATAGAAAATCACCATTACTTATCTCCAAAACTTGTATTGGAATAAATTAAAAGTTCTTAGACAAAGCCAATATTAAGGAATGTACTATCAAGCATTTATGCAGCAACCTATGGCGGGCCCGCCAGTTATTCAAACAATTAGATCAGAGTTGCTATGACGGGTTTTCTCCTGTTTGTCCTGAGATAAAGTACCGCCTTAAAAGCTACTCAGCATCAAATCTACTTCACAGACTTGAGCTATCAAAGCCAAGTTGTATTAAGTGATCCGTGAACACTTCTCTGCTTAAAACGTGTTCTCTTTCGCCCATGCTATAGGAACGCAAGAATCCTTTGATATTATGTGCTACAATAAACACGATTCCTAAATGGAATACAGAAATTAGCTGGAAAGTATCTTCACATGCAGGGAAGTTCAATATATCATGATTGCAGGGTTGAGGTTGCAAGACTTGTTAATAATTGTGGAACAAAGCTGTAATCACATTCACCAGACAAAACATATCAACATTAGGGATTTCTTATGCAGGTGTAAACAAATATATTAAACCGTCTTTTAATAAATAACCGGTAACTGCCAAAACTAATAATTCGCTCGAACCCCAGAGATCTTTCCTTCCGGTGCTGCGCGCCTTACTCACATCAGTATATCAGCGAAGGTGATCTCTCGGTATGGTCTCTCCTGTATCTGCTCACACAGGAACTGCTTCACACAGGCTCGGTGACCCTCTCGCTGTAGCTTGATGACCGCCGCCAGGTTGCCAGGAACAGTCAGAATGGTACTGAGAGGATGGAAGGATCGCTCCTCCCTGCCGTAAGAGATGGATACACACGTAAGATACATTGCGTTGATGAATTGGTGTATGGTGGTACATTTTTTGTCAATAAATTAACACCAAACAAAATGGCCAGAAAAGAAGTGTTCGATATAATATAGTTAACCCTGATATGACCTACCGGACATGTGCGACGTTCGAAGCAGATATCCAGTTATGTATTTGGACCATGGCATCGGGAACGTCGGACATTTGCAACGGCAGTAACATGTCATTGACTTCTAGTGAACGTCCAGTCACCGTAAGGATCTGGTACACCGCCCTAATTAAGTAAGCCGCTGCGGACATGAAGGTAACATGGGTCAATCGAAGGGGAGGAAAAGATAGGCCCAAGAGGAATAATCGTAAAAAATATTAAAATTATAATAATAAAATACTACTAATATAATAATAATAAAAATAATGATAATGAAAAAACTTACTACAATGCCACAGTACTTGGATAAAGATAAAGGAAAGACCCAATATATATGAGTAGGTGAATTAAAATCAAATTTTCGAATGTAACCTACATCCTTTCTCAAGATGCTGTATAATGTATACAATGCTGTCTTGTATACATTGAACATTGTATACAGAACCTTGAGAAAGGATTTAGGGTACATTCTAAAATTTGGTTTTCAATACACTTACACATATATTGTGTCTTCTCTTCACCTTCAATAATAATAATAATAATAATAATAATAATAATAATAATAATAATAATAATAATAATAATAATAAAAATAATAATAATAATAATAATAATAATTCTAGCTTCCACTGATAAAATATTACCTTGCATCACTTTTCACCGAATATGAAACCCTTACACAGCCTGTTTATTGTTACTTATAAGCTCTCATAGAGAACTCAGTACCCAACAAACTCTCTCGTCACAATTCGGTACTCAGGACCCGTAAAACTCACTAGACAGAACTCAACACATTTACTCAACACTAGTAGGCTGCCGATTAACAGCTTCTCCCCCGAATCAACCTACCCAGGCTTTGCGCCCTGGAGAGGCCACTCCAGACCGACAACCAGAGCGCGACTCCATAGTCTCCTGAGACTGATGGATGCCTACTACTACTACTAGGCTTGCATAACACCAAGTAGAAATACTCAGCAGCCGTCAGACTCACCCAGGGTGAGGAGAGCGATGACGGTGACAGGGTCGAGGGTGAGTGCAGTCCCCTGTCTGTTTTTCTCTCCCGTCAGCACCTCCAGCAGGTGGTCCAGAAACTCTTCCTCAGTCTCAGACGTCAGCCCCGCTGTCCGGATCCTCTCCAAGGTCGAGGTGTCGAGGAGGAGGTTCATTAGAGCTGAGGGGGACGGGGGAGAGGATGAAGGAGGAGAGGTGTCATTGGAGGAAGAGAAGTCGTCGGAATCATTGGAGGAAGAGAAGTCGTCGGAATCATTGGAGGAAGAGAAGTCGTCGGAGTCATTGGAGGAAGAGAAATCGTCGGAGTCATTGGAAGAAGAGAAATCGTCGGAGTCATTGGAGGAAGAGAAGTCGTCGGAGTCATTGGAGGAAGAGAAATCGTCGGAGTCATTGGAGGAAGAGAAATCGTCGGAATCATTGGAGGAAGAGAAGTCGTCGGAGTCATTGGAGGAAGAGAAATCGTCGGAATCATTGGAGGAAGAGAAGTCGTCGGAATCATTGGAGGAAGAGAAATCGTCGGAATCATTGGAGGAAGAGAAGTCGTCGGAGTCATTGGAGGAAGAGAAGTCGTCGGAGTCATTGGAGGAAGAGAAGTCGTTAGAATCAGTGGAGGAAGAGAAATCGTCGGAATCACTGGAGGAAAATGAGTAGTCAGAGTCAATGGAAGAGAGAGACGAGGTCTTGGTGGAAGAGGTGATGCCATTGGATAGGAAAGAGGTGGCGGAGGAGCCACTTTCTTGCGATCTGTTAGAGTCGTCGGAGGAAAATCCATTTACTGAGGGAGACATTAATTTAAAGGACGAGGGTGGAGAAAATGAGGAGAAATGACGCGAGGACGGAAAGTGTGATAAAGAGAATAAGGGAAGGTGGGATAAAGTGATGAAGGGAGAGGAGGAGGAGGAAGAGTCAAAAGAGGAAGAGTCCAAAGAGGGAGAGCTTGAAGACGAGACCTGGACGGAGGTGGAGCCAGGAGAGCTAGAGGAAGAGGATCTACGGAATGAATTGGTGGAACTAGAAGCGGCCTGGCTTTTGGTGGAGTCAGAAGAGGAGGTCTTGTCTTGGGTAGCATCTGAAGAGGAGGTCTTGTCTTGGGTGGCGTCAGCAGAGGAGGTCTGGCTGCTGGTAGATGATGTAGCTCGGAGGTTGGACGGCACGGCCTGGTTCCTTCGTGTGTTGGAGGTCTGATTCCTTCGTGTGTTGGAGGTCTGATTCCTTCGTGTGTTGGAGGTCTGATTCCTTCGTGTGTTGAAGGAGGTCTGATTCCTTCGTGTGTTGGAGATCTGATTCCTTCGTGTGTTGAAGGTCTGATTCCTTCTTGTGTTGGAGGTCTGATTCCTTCGTTTGTTGGAGGTAGTCTGATTCCTTCGTTTGTTGGAGGTAGTCTGATTCCTTCGTGTGTTGGAGGAAGAGGTTGGCTTCCTTCTTCTATTGGGGGAAGGAAGTTCCTGGCGAGTGATGGGGGACGATGAGGAGAAAGAAGAGGAGGAATTGGAGGAGGATGTCCAATGTGAGTCAGAAGAAAAGGTTGGGGGCGAGCTCTTGTTTGAAGAAAAGGTTTGGACTCTGTTGGGGGAAGAGCTCTGGCCTTGGTTGGAATTGAAGGTGTGGAGCGACGTAGATACGGAAGATGGGGGTGAGGGAGCAGAATTACTCGAGGAAGAAGAGTTACCGTGATCGGAAGTAAAGGTGGAGGTCGTGTGGCCTGAAGGGGAGGAGAAGGAAGAGGATAAAGTTTGTTTTGAAGGGGAGGAGGAGGAGGTAGTTTGGCCTGAAGGGGATGAGGAAGACTCATCCGTGGGGGAAGTACTAACGACTGTTCGTTCCAGTCGACCCTCAAGTTTATTCTTCATCTTCTGAACGACGGAGAGGAGTCCTTCCATATCCTTGGTGGCCAGAAGAATGTTTTTCACCGGGATATTGGCAGCACTGGCTACAGGGACACCCAGGCTCGTCTGGTCAGACTTGTTATCTCCTGTCGTCTCTTCATGGCCTTCTCGTTCGTATTTCGCATCGTCTGTACCATCTACGTCGGCCAATAAGCTGAAAATATCATTTGTTTTCCGGATATTTGCTTTGTTAAAAGTAAATGTGTCGATGTTGAAATCTGGCGGTGACTCGCGAGAGGTTGAAGCCTCGTCTGGCGTACTCGAAGTCGAGCTCGGAGTCGTCTTTTCTTTCCGGCCATGTGAAAACATTCCAGAGAGACTGAGGTGTGAGTCGGGGTCTTCGAAGGTCGCCGGGGACTCACGCTTTGCGTCCTGGAGGGTGCTGATGTTATCAAGAGAGCGACTGGAAGGTTCCTGGAGGGCGCTGTACGCCTCGATGCCCGGGACCCGCAGCAGACACACAGTTGCTGCAGCTGCAAGTATTCCCGCTCCCACAGACATCCTGGAATGAAAATGGGCTTCGATTATTTGAAAGTATGAGTAGCAAAGCCAAAGTTACAATGTAATGACTAAACCAAACACCAGAAAATGAAGAGACGACGACGTTTCGATCCGTCCCGGACCATTATCAAGTCGATTGTGATAATGGTCCACGACGGAACGAAACGTCGTCGTCTCTTCATCTTCTGATGTGTGGTTTGGTCATTATATTTTCAGCCACGTTATCGTGACTCGTCATCTGCAAAGTTACAATGTATTTTGAGTCGTCAACATGCGTGTTAGTATACACACACACATACACTACTTTTCTCACATACAAACATATACACACTGACAGACATACATACATACACATGTTCGCATACACAGGATTACATGTGTACGCACACGTCTAACTCAGCCTAGGGTAACTTAAGACAAGGTAACTTAGACTAACTTAAGGTTTACAAAAGATCGCTGACATCGTACTTGTGTTTTGTTGAACTTCATGCGCGACCCGCCTCACGCACGGCTGCGCATCTCACGCACCAAGTTGAGCGCATAAACACGTGACTCTTCACTCTCCACCTTGCCAGGTCACATATTGCGGGCTGATTCACGTGTGGAGTCACGTGTTTATCCAGACCGAGCCAGGCTTCAGGTCAGACCACGTCAGGGTTCAGGCCGAGCAAGGTTTAATGTCAGACCGGATCACGCACTGTGAGTTTAATTATTATGACGAATGTGTCATCACAGAAGTCAAGATGACTTATTCACGTTCTCATGAACCGGTCATGGTGGTGGAGGTGAAGAGGATGGTGATGGTGGTGGTGGTGAGGAATGGTGGTGGTGGTGAGGGTGATGGTGGTGGTGAGGGTAGCGGAAGAAAGCAGCAGCGTCACGCGCATGTCTATAGACAAAGAACCTGTTCCCCTGGCGGCTGGTGGCCCGTTATTACACGAACCAACGGCGGCTGCTGGCTCCGCTGTGTCCACTCTAGCCACAGACACACACACACTAGCCTCGGACACACACTAGCACCAGACACACACTAGCCCCACAAACATACGACACACACACCTAGCTATGTCTGCCTGCCGCCACCGCTAAGCCCCAACGAAGCATCAACGACACTGGTATTAACTGATGATGAATTGAATTGAAATTGAAATAAGTTTATTGAGGTAAAATACACACAAAGGGATGAGGTAGCTCAAGCTATTCTCACCCCGTTCAGTACATTGTGTTAATACATACATAGACACACATCACAAACAATAAACATATTACCAAACATTCTGAGAGATAAACATGATGACGAAGGTTTAGTGTTAACACGTAGTAACTGCCAACGGATGAACTGTAGTTGAGAGAGTAAATGAAGACATATTTCTGACTAAGTGGGATTTTACGGTTAACAGATCTTACAGGTCAGAGACCATGCTAATGTGTGACTGGGGGTGACTGACATTTTAACATGCAGCTTCTCTATGTTAACCAGAGAAAGAGAGACATCAAAGAGAGAAGGCATAATTACTAGGCATTACTAGGCATCTTGGATCCTATGCTAGAGGTCCTCAATGGCCTCCTTCAAGAACGGACTGTCATCTTGGTCCTCAATAGAAGAAAGACTGAATATCTGTGAACTGATACCAGCGTTCCACAGGGTAGTTCACTTGGTCACTTCGTGTGGAACGACCGCTTCAACACACTGCACTTCAACTCTGCATACTAAGCTTACCCTCATAAAGGTAAAAGCTTACCCATAACCTTTACCTACAGCGGGCGAAACAATGAGGCTACGTTTTCTACTGAGAAAACGCAATATATACTAATAACTAGACAGCTGATATAACTACAGTATCAAGACTAGTGTTTCTAAGAGCGAAAAGTTCATAGGAAGGAATAGTTCTGGGACGGAAGGATGGAAGATGAATGGTTCTTCAGTGACTATGATGGAGCATGTTATGAACCTCGTAAGCTAAGGAACACAGAAAACTTATATCATTAACGTCCATCTCATACCTGCACCGACTGTGAAAACGTTTTGTGGTACAAATTTGTTCTGACACTGAGTATGCACAACCCTCTTGGATGGCCTATTTTTATCTTCCTCTTACCTCTGGACAAGGTAAATCATCTTGAACTGCAACTCAAGTTTATTCGTCCTATATGGACCTGTAACCACAGTCCTTAACACCAAAGAGATGTAGGCAGATCTATAGAACTATACAACGCCACCATTCAGAAAGATCTGCGCGTGGTCCAATTTTGTAAATAAGCAGCAGAAGCCTATTACAAGACAAAACGCCCAGCCAGCAGCAGCTGCACTTTGGCTGAACCATTCACAAGAACATCACACAAGTGGTGATCAATCATTCCTCACCTGACTCGCAACTGGTAAATGTTTTCACAACAAATAACTCCTGCAAAACCAGTCTTAACTTGGAATTACGAAAAAAGAGGGAAAGGAGGAGAAAGAAATGCAGGAATAGAGAAAGATGGAGGAAGAAACTGATGACAAAATTAGGCTATTAAGATAGGACAGAGAGGAGGAGGAAGGGTAGACAGTATATTTCTAGACTGCTAAGCAATCTTTGAAACACTTTTAAAATAGATTTACAGACAAATGTGAAACATGCTGAAGTAATCGGGAGAAAACGAAACTGGCTGAAAAAGCACCTATCAGATTGGTGACAGAGAGAAAGTGAGAAAGGGAAGTAGGAACATGGAATAAGAGACTAACAGGACAGTACACAATAAAGAGGAGCCACTTACAAGACACATTTAAAGTCAAAGACCTAAGAATAGATAAAAGGCCAGGAATGAATATGGAATAAACCCGATGATGAGGCAGAAGAGGCTATTTCCAATCACCATTCTATACGTAACTATAATAGGATAACTGTAGATCAGTATTCATTGCATTAAACAGCTGACGGCTGGAAAAGTGACGGCCAAGATGTGAAACTAGTCCTGGCAGGCACAAGCACACGAACACACACACAAAAGCTGGAAAAAGTTCCACTTTTCCAAAAGAGGTATGCCACTAGGCTAGTCCCAGAACTAAGAGGCATGAGTTAGGAGGAAAGGCTACGAGAAATGCACGTCACGACTTTGGAAGACAGAAGAGTAAGGGGAGACAAGATCACTACCTACAAAATTCTCAGAGGAATTGACAAGATAGATAAGGATAAACTGTTTAACACGTGTGGTACGCGAACAAGGGGACACAGGTGGAAACTGAGTACCCGAATGAGCCACAGGGACGTTAGAGAGAGCTTTTTCAGTGTCAGAGTTATTAACAGATGGAATGCATTAGGCAGTGATGTGGTGGAGGCTGACTCCATACACAATTTCAAATGTAGATATGATAGAGCCTAGTAGGCTCAGAAACCTGTACACCAGTTGACTGACAGTTGAAAGGCGGGAACCAAAGAGCCAGAACTCAACTCCCGTATGCACAACTAGGTGAGTACACACGAGGTGCCAATACGGCATCATCAACTGTCTTCTGCTCGGCTTTTCTTTATATTACCGTTCACGTCAATTCACGTCATGGGGCTCTCACGAACGCCAGGGTCAACAAACAGCGGACCCCCACCTGCCCCCATCACCCAGGGGAGACCCCCACCTGCCCCCATCACCCAGGGGAGACCCCCACCTGCCCCCAGCACCCAGGGGAGATCCCTCCATCTCCACAACACACAGAGCGGCACGTTCAGCAGGTGAAGGTCGCTCCGGAAGTGAGCAGTGAGGTCATGTGAAACTTTTAATGTTGGCTTGTTTACGTGTTCACGCTAACAGTGTGTGTGTGTGTGTGTGTGTGTGTGTGTGTGTGTGTGTGTGTGTGTGTGTGTGTGTGTGTGTGTGTGTGTGTGTGTGTGTGTGTGTGTGTGTGTGTGTGTGTGTCCGCACTCATCTAGATGTACTTGTAGGGCTGAACGTCAGCTATTAAGCCCTGCCTCTCCGGCTTCCGGTCAATTAAATGCAATGACTGCCTTTCCTTGTCAATGTTTCTTGTCATATCTTCTTTTGAGACGTTTCCGCCCGTTCTAATTGTTTACAACTCTTAAACCAAAGAAGTTTTCGTTGATATCTCTACGGCTCATTAAGGATCTCTAGTTACCATCCGTCAGCAATAGTTCAACTGATATAAATTTGAATTAAAGCCTATTTTTAACTATGTTAATTCCTCTGAATATTTTGCATGTTATAATATCATAATTTTTTTCTAGGACAGTGAGGTCGACTTTTCTGGTGTGATATTTTCGGTAATTCTTTACTTAGAATTCATTTTATTATTTTGAAAGATATCTTTTTATCTTTTAAAAATCCTTTTCTATTTCTTCATGTCCAGGTCAGAGCTGTCTGCCCGAGGTCTGGTCTGGTGTTGGGCCAATGACCTATCAACACCAAACCAAGTTAGTAATCAAGGAGAGTTATTAAGATCAAGACACTTGCTTGCCGAGCATAGTTCTTGGTTTAATTCAAGCAATCAATTTTCAGACCATTTCTCGAGCGAGTCCAGATCCGTGTGTAAGGTATCTCAGTCTCTCTCTCAGTCCTGAGTCTTCTCGTTAGTTTTGTCTCGTCTGCAAAACATTGAATTAAAGGAGCCAGTTTTCTCCGTCAGGTCGCTGACATAGAAAACAGGAAAAGGGGGGAGGGGGATGCAGGCACTACTCTTGTGGTAAGCGCAGCCGCTCTCCAATCTGCTATCACTAAAACCAAGCTGTTTCTGATCGCACCGAGCTAGCACATGTGTTGGGCAAGCATGAATGAGGAAAATTACTGGAAAAAAAATGTCTGCAAACTAACATATACATGTTGGTGAGTACATTTAGGTAAATACATCAAGCGTAGTACACCTTAGATGAGTGCATCTAGGTGAATACATCAAAGTGAGTAAATTTAGGCGGAAAACCTGGGAGAACATCTGAGTACATCAAGGTAAGTACATTTAGGGGAGTATATCTAGATAAGAACATTTAGGTGAGTACATGTAGATGAGTACATCCAAATGAGTGCATTTGGATGAGTGTATATGAGTACATCTAGATAAGTGCATCTAAGTGAGTACATCTGTTAGAGAACATCTACAATAAACATCTACAAGAGAACATCTACAAGAGAACATCTACAAAAGAACATCACCAAGAGAACATCTACAATAAAACATCTACAAAAAAAACATCTACAAGAGAACATCTACAAGAGAACATCTGCAATTGAACATCTACAATAGAACATCGACAAGAGAACATCTACAAGAGAACATCTACAAGATAAAATCTACAAGAGAACATCTGCAATAGAACATCTACAAGAGAACATCTACAAGAGAACATCTACAAGAGAACATCTGCAATAGAACATCTACAAGAGAACATCTACAAGAGAACATCTACAAAAGAACATCAACAAGAGAACATCTACAATAAAACATCTACAAAAAAACATCGACAAGAGAACATCTACAAGAGAACATCTACAATAGAACATCTACAAGAGAACAACATGGTGGGTACACACACACGGCTTGAAGGTAATATTGTTGTTGAGTAAATACAAACAAACTATTCATCTTACTTGAAAAGAAATATATATGCAAATTCCAACACTGTTAATTAAACACACACCTAAAATGTACGTGAAAGTATATAAAGAACACATGAATGAACAAAGTATGAATTATTATTAACACGAGAGAAAAAAGTAGCAATAGAAATCTATACAAAGCACAAATTACTCTACAAGTCACAATAACCAAACCTGTTTAGCTACGAGAACTGGGGCGAGTATTTGATCGAGTGAACGCACTCAAGTTCGCTCAAGCACTGTGGGGTCTTCGACGTTACTCCATCTGCGTCTGATCCACTACTGAAGTCTCGACACGGTTCACACCCGACACGCGGGGAGCCGACGAATGCGCACCGTCAACTGCGCAGTGACGCCCACAGTGGATATAAACATAGGAAAAACGCGGGAAATTGTGGTTGTTGGCGGAATGATGCGCCAGAGACTCGTGACTGGCAACAGCTGGAACAGAAGAACGCCAGAATGAGTTCGTGACCCAGACGGAAACTAAAGTATGTGGAACAAGAATATGTTTTAGGCTATAGCGTCGGAGACAAGAAAGTGCAAGAAATGATTCCTTAATGTAGGAGTGAAAATAGCTCAAGATATCAATAGTACAAAGCTTTGCTTGAAATTTTATTAATATTATATACGTAGAAGATCCAAAACGTGAATTTAACCTGCGGCTAAACCGGACAAAAAATAATTTACTGAAAAGTCGGACACAGTTGAAATCTCCGCGGGAGCTCTAGGCTATGATCACATTAAAGTGACCGCCTGAGAAAGTTTCCAGCGATACACATAGATTTGACCCTTATATATATATATATATATATATATATATATATATATATATATATATATATATATATATATATATATATATATATATATATATATATATATATATATATATATATATATATGCAATTGACGATCACAAAACACTGATCATTTTATGCGGAAAATCCACAGAGAAATATGAAATGAGGTGAACGTTTCGGCTTTGTTAAAGCCTTTGTTTTCATATTTCTCTGTGGATTTTCCGCATATATATATATATATATATATATATATATATATATATATATATATATATATATATATATATATATATATATATATATATATATATATATATGTGTGTGTGTGTGTGTGTGTGTGTAAAGCTTGAATGGTCTCCTGAGAGCTCGTTTGGAGTACTGTTGAATATACACATGAAATAGTTGATGGAAACTGGATTCCTAATTCTAAATGCAAACTAGTAGTAGAAAAGAATGACTTAACTGCTAATTAAACACTTATTGCACTTAACTGCTATATTAGTTCTAGCCAGAAAAACGGACTACCTAATAACCTAACGTTTTCGGCTACCTAACCTAACCTAACCTATAAAGATACTAGCGTTGACCTCAACTAGCTTTATATTTCATAAGAAAAAAATTAGATATACATAGGCAAATCGGGCCTCGCATAGTGAGTTCTGGCTACTAGGTACGACATATATATATATATATATATATATATATATATATATATATATATATATATATATATATATATATATATATATATATATATATATATATATATATATATATATATATAGGTGAGTAAAGCCCGTAGGCCTACCGTGCAACATTGGGATATGCACCATAGGCTTCTTTGTCCTATAATTATCGCTGCTCGTATGTCGACTGTTGACGCGTGTTTATGACACACATTGACCGCTGTTGATGGCGTGTTACTTTAGACCAAGAAGGATGAAGGAATACATGAAAGGACAAGGCTGTAAAACTAATGATAAAGGGATCATGTCTAGGATATACGAGACAAAGAGAATGTAACGTTGATCCGACATGGGTACGGCGAGAGAAGTTTGATGGAGACAAGACCACACACTAGAATGTGAAGGGACGACGACGTTTCGGTCCGTCCTGGACCATTCTCAAGTCGATTGTGACTCACAATCGACTTGAGAATGGTCCAGGACGGACCGAAACGTCGTCGTCCCTTCACATTGTAGTGTGTGGTCTTGTCATCATACCTTAGCCACGTTATTGTGACTCGTCGCCTGCATGTGTGATGGAGCCAGCATTGTGGCGGTCACTCAGCCAAGATTTGTATAAGCTTCAATCCATCATTTCAAACTTTGGATGTAGGTGGCTCACACTACTTCTGCTTTCATGTAATTTCGCTGCAATTGAGAATTCTCTCAAATCTTTGTCTCATATGCGTTTTTTAAATTCTAACATGTACCGTTTCGTTCTAATTTACCCTAATTTAAAAATAAATTATTGACCCCCAAGCCTAACCACTACATTGGACTAGTTGGTAGAGTTACGGCTTTGACTTTAATAGGTTCCGCGCTCGATCTTACATACTTTTAAAACTACACATGATTGTCGTGGTGTGTTTACTGTCATCTCAAGAAAAGGTTGTTGTAACAGCCTTTTTCATAATAATATTAACGTATGAACAATGTTTCTTGATATATAACAAGGAGTAAGAGTATTGAAAAGTTAGAATAGGTGAAGAGAATAGTAGATGGGTGGGTGGCTATCATGAGTTAGAGACATGGATGGAGTGGGGACGTAATTGGTCAATTCCTCTACGACCCGTCGTGGCAAGTTTTCACCAGAGTAAGTGCGGCGTTGCTGGCTTTCCAGCCTCCGGGCTAGAGAGTCGTCAACTCTTCCTTGTACACGTATGATTTTATATGTTTGAAGGGGAAGACTGTGATCATGTCTGTTGTATCCGCTGTTTTCACACAAAGCTTCATGTGTATGGTAAGCACATGAAACGTCCTGGACTATGTTGAGGACTAATGTATTCTTGGTGACTGGTTAGTAAACAATTTTAGTGGCTTCAATAACCCTCCAGAGGTTGATAGGCATTAAGCCCAACACCAAACCCTAAGTCTGGGGCAAATAACTGAGCTAGAGCAGCCTGGAGAACTAAATCCAGGTGTGCATCAGTAAGTTGAGAGCCAAGCCCAGAGTTTTCAATGTACTTTACAGACGAGAGCTGCTAAGAAGTATTTCCAAACATTGACATAATCTTTGAGACAAATTGCTGGATACTAGGATAATTTGGTCCTATATATTTATACAATGTAACAATAATATAATGACAAATGTAACATTAACACCTGAAAACTTTTCCCTCAAAACTAAATCATATTGTAACAATAATTTCTAGCTGAAAAATAATATTTGTATTAATAAACTTAGGTATACACAACAATGTGCTGCTACCCTATTCTATATGAAAGATTGCATAGTGTAGATAAAAAACTAGCTATAAGTTCATTTAATATCCCCATCTCACAGGATGGTTAGTCAAACATTGAATCAGGAGAGAAAATACCTGCCTCAATACATGCCTTTTTTTTTAACACGCCTAGGTATACACAGCAATGGACTGCTAACCTATTCTGTATGGAAAATTCTCTACTTCATTAACACCGATGAGACTGGGTGCAGAATTTTGTTTAGAAGTCCTTCTTTAGGTATTTAAAGGTATTAAATTGTTGATAATATTCACCCCATAACTTAGAAATCTTGCAGCAACATTTTTCTGTGTTGGTTGTCAGCATGAAGCTCAAGTATGTGTTTCAGGTATTTTATGGTAGGAAAGTGTGACAGATTACCCTGCTAATTGCCTCTTAAAAGTATATTTGGAGTTTCATCACGAAAACATGAATACAGAAATAACATTTTCTTAGTTATTGCATTGTGTATTTTTGTGTTTCGGTAATTTACGCCTTCTGTGATATCCATCAAAAGCTGCATTTCGATCACATTCATTATCTTTCAGTTCATTCACATCATTTCTGTTCCAAAATAATTTGTATTTCACCATTGAGCACATTACAGCGTGTAAGTTCAGCCACGTTATTCTCCCGTCCAATAGCAATGTAATATGACACTGTCATATTAAACAGTTGAAAAGTCTGTGATTAAAACTTCGTGCTCGGATAAAGTTCACTTCATCTTTTGATGGCATTCATAACATTACTGTATGCACTTTACAGCACAACACTTCACTACGAATAATTCAATAGAAACGGAGAAATTCATGGTATTAACATTTAATAGCATTTGCTGCGCTCATTGTAGCCACACAGCTTTTCTCCAAATAAACGCCCAAGTTTACAAGCGTTCCTACCAAATTCATCAAGTATTTATCATCGATTGTTGATCTTTTCATTGATCAACTAAACATTGATTCCATAAACTCTTGTTTCCGGCATACTCATAACAACACCACGTATAAATATTGCAAGTTGTGCTGTATCAATTACATCTGTCTTACATCAATTGCAAAAGAAAATGCAATAAAGGTTTTTACTTTCTCTTCGCGAATTACCGCTAAAACTCGTTCGGTGGCCTGCAAGAACTATAAACAACTGATATTTCCTGGCCTGACACTCACAAACATCCACAACTACAGCACCCACAAGCATCTCCTTGTGAGTGGATAACCATAGTAATTTGCTAATATATATATACAGTGCTTTTAAATTAAATTGCGCCGGTTTGATGCTAAAGTTGCAGCTAAAGTTGGGCGTGTCGGGGTCCTCTCGTAGAAGGGTGAGGGCTGCTTGACATCCCCCCTTGCTTAGAATATGCCAGGCAATGATCAGATGTTGAGACTTGTAATAAGGCCAGGCTCAGTTTGGGAGGCATTGGAGAAAATTGCGTAAATATTAATTAATATTCTAATTTAGGAAATGTAATTTTGTGAAGAGCGAGGCGTTTTATAATGCACGTTCTCACTTTCATCGTATTGACAATATCAGTTAACCTTCCATGATGTGCTGGATACTTAAAGAGTAGCTTGTCAATAGAAAACGAGAGTGGAACTGGAGTAAGGCACATTATGGCGACTGTAAAACCGTGGGAATACAAATATTCACCTCTTTCATTTTTGTATTGTGATATTCAACCTGGTTTTGCATAATGCCTGTGGTTTCTGTTTTTCATTTCCATATGTACATTTTCTAGAAACCAAATTATAGTGTGGTATATTGTACATATATATTTATTTGTTGGCTATTAAATGATTAGGTATATACTTCCTAGTGAGGATAAATAATGTAAATTGTCAGTCAGCCTCATACATGTAAGACAAATTTGCCTGTTTTTGTTCAACAGACACACCACGACACGCAGCGCTGCGTCATTCCAAATTTGGCCTCAAGTGCTACTACAGGTATACGCTTGACCCGGAACTGCTGACTCCCAGGTACCAAGGCGTAGGCAACACTTACGCCTCTCCTCCCTCCTTCCCCTAAG